CATCGAGGTAAATTTTTGCGGCCGGAGCTGGTCGTAACCCGAAAAGTTCGTTAGTAGAGGCGTTCATATCCCGAGGTACCACTGTAATTGGAAACTATGCCATGTGAACACTTCTGTGCTATGCAGACAGGAATAACTGTAAATTACTTTCCTCTGTATTCTATTGATATAATTTTCTATAGGAGCAAAGAGCTTTTTATTATTAGAGGGGTATCAGTTGGCTAGGAGTTGTAAAGAAAATGCTACAAAATTTCAGGGACACAGGGGTGTTATGTACATTACATATTTACATGAATGACACTCTCCCCATGGCCACGTATGACAGAGCAACTGCAAAACAAAAAATAGTCTATTTGTCAAAATAACTGTATTTTCCTACCTATGTAATATAGAATCTTTATTGCAAACATTTCCACCCCAGTTTTCTATCCCAATGTGCACACAAACCTAACCCTCCAATAAAATTGTAATCTGAAATGAATGTTATTAAACACAGATGATCTATTGAGACCTAATTAATGATAGACTGTAGGTTTTCATAGCTCTATCTATTGGTGAAATTACTTGTAAGTAACCCCACACGAGACAATGATTAAGTGCTGGTGGCTATCAATCATCTGCAAATATTCACTGTCTCAAATGAAATGACCCAGAAGTCATTATACTGTGAAACATTCTGTTTGGAACTTGGCTGGTTAACCCATATTAACAAATTATAGTTGATTTATTAGCAATATATTAGCTTCTAAAAGCCAGCAGTGATGTGCTCTGCCTTAACAGTGGAATAAGCATATAATTTCACAACATACATATTGCCAATGGTATTAAGTTACTTAATTCATCCTTTAAAAAGGTCATGAGTGAGCAAACGTTTAGTGAGCAAACTATCTATGGAAAAGCCCATACTCTAATTCATACACATTGCTCTTTCACATCTCTCCCCCCCAACAAAAAATAGCTCAAATCACTGTGTCGTTTGGAAGGTGGGAAAAAATAGACGGGAAAAGATAAGCCACGAGACCTGTTATTTCCTTCCAGTGGAGAACAACAGTCCTATTAGCAGCAGTGATCCAGAAATTCTGGCTAATTTAATTGATGAAAAAGTGCTTTAATGGAGAAGCCTCCTTCCTGCCTAATGCACATGTACACTTGTGTATACTTACTTAAGCTTAATAAACTCAAAGATTAACCAATATAACCCTGTCCTAGTGCTAATATCCGCTAATATCAAAAAGAGGACCTACAGAAATAAAATGAACTTTACTTTTGTCTAAAGCAAGTTAATTTATTTTTTAAATGGTGGAAGAATTACCAGTTTTTCAAGAAATCACTATATACTGCAGACCAGACTTCTTCAGGGCAATACTACAGTCTTATAAACCTTATATTGACCATACTGGCACTTTGAAACCATAGGTTCCTTGTGTAAAATAATCAAGAGAGAGTAGCTAGCTAGCATTATCCCAGTGTTAGGTGTATCTTAGACTATATAGATTAATATTTAATTTATCATTAAAAGGATTTTTATTTGTCTCTTCAGACCCAAAAGAATCTCCTATAGAACCTTTGAAAGGTCAACGAGAAAATTCCTGCCCTCAGTCTTGTCATGAAGAGAAGATAGAAAAGAAAAATGGAGGGAAGAGGAAAAAAGCAAATTCACGGTTCTGAGCTTTGAGGTTTTTACAACCACCAGCTGGGTGGAAAAAAATTCATTGAGAACAAAAGGACAATACCCCAAATTGGTATTGTCTCAGCACTGACAGAGTGCCAGTTTCCCTTCTCTCTGTCTTCTGATAGAATAGCTACTCTCCAGTGATAGTTAATGGAAGAAAGCAGAAGCCCAGTGGAGTTGGAGCTGGCTTTTCGACAGTGTGTGTGCATGCATGCATGGGTGTATACATGTGTGTATATACACAAACATACATATGTAAAGAGGGAATATATGGTATGCATGAGCACTGCTTTCTGAGTACTGTAGGTAAGAAGAGAAAAGTATTGGAAGCATGTAATAAGGCGATGGCCACAGAGAAGACTTCACATATTAAAAAGGCAAACAATCCCTGTGAATTTGGAAGGCTCTCTCCTTGTATTAGCATAGCAGTGATATTGTAGGTAAGTTTGCCGTTATATTAGTGGCAGAATTCTGTCCTATTCAGCATTACAGCATTATTTTGCAGGCTTATGCTACCCTGTGTCTCTTGAATGCTTTCTTATTCTTGGTAGTTCAGATGTATTTTAAATAGACCTACCCTTTTAATTTTTAGTAATCAGCAAAGAAATCCAATTAATCTGAAGATAATTAATTTCATCTGAAATATCAATGGAACAGCCAATTGTTTTAATGCACTATAATTTTCAACTAGTTTCTTCCCTATTCTATTTTGGCTGATAAAGAGTCCACAGAAAACACAGAGCTGAGAAGGGTATTATTATCTCCCCTGACATTTAACTTCTTTCTTTAAATATATTATCTATATTATGGTAACAAATTGAGGCTATGAATAAAGATCATAGCTCCACAGTGGCTCTTTGCAGAAATGTATGAAAAGATATCTCAGACCTCTGTACTCTGGCAGGCAATAGATGGGAAGAAAAGGTAGTACAAAATGATTATGCTCAGTATCATAATCAGGGATCTTGAGTCACTAAATACATAGTTGGCACTGAAAGTTGGGTATGAATCAGTACAGAGGATATTCCTGCTGTGCCTCTGAAACAAAATGCAGTAACCCAGCAGAACTGTGGAAGGAGCTCTTGAGCTAGATATGGAAGCCCAAGGTGGCCCAGATGTAAGATGGTGAGTGGTAACTGGATGTTGCTCGTTCTGATTCCAAAGGTACAAGAAGACAGTTCATGAAGAGGTCTAGGGCACAAGCAGGCACATCTTTAAAAAAATTGCCTGTGGAAACGGTAGAAAAAACAATTAAAAAGGGAAGAGAGCTTTGTGGAAGGGAACTTTACCCAGTGATGAAGCATATGTAGAGACAGAAAAAAACACACCAGAATTAGAAGAATGTTTACAAAAAAAGTCCTCTGCGGGCTGATGCTTGCCTGAAAGGAGAGGAAAAGAAAAGAAAAGGAAAGGAAAGGAAAGGAAAGGAAAGGAAAGGAAAAGGAAAAGGAAAAGGAAAAGGAAAAGGAAAAGGAAAAGGAAAAGGAAAAGGAAAAGGAAAAGGAAAAGGAAAAGGAAAAGGAAAAGGAAAAGGAAAAGGAAAAGGAAAAGGAAAAGGAAAAGGAAAAGGAAAAGGAAAAGGAAAAGGAAAAGGAAAAGGAAAAGGAAAAGGAAAAGGAAAAGGAAAAGGAAAAGGAAAAGGAAAAGGAAAAGGAAAAGGAAAAGGAAAGGAAAACCAACCCAAACTAAATCTTTCTTTAGCAATTTACAATAGGATAGGAAAGGCTGAATTGTTTTATCAATCTTCCTTGTGGGAGGAACTGGAAATTATGACTGCCCTGAGAAACTCAGTCTGAACAATATGACACATGCTATATAGAGACAAGAAAATAATTCCTATGCAAGAGAAGGAGGCAGAAGAGCAGAGCCCTTCTGCTAAGCTGTCAGTACATCAATTGCCTTAATGGCCAACAAGTTTATAAGGTGCAAAACAGCTAATGTGCTCAGATATTGAATCTTTCAAGAAGCTTATGCAAAGGGAGACTTGAGTCACTTTTTCTAAGAGCATTTCAAGTCTTTGAAATGTCAGTAGAACAGACCTGGGTAGACAGCCTTCCAACTAAAGATAACAGGGAGTTGTATGTTTCCTGGGACCTGACCCCCCATCCTCCCCATTTAGGTATAGATGCAGAATGTCAATGCAATCCATTTCAACTGGACCATCATACACAACTTGTGCAATATGAGAGACACCTATCTTTCTGCAATATAGTCCTAGTGGACATACAATGCTACTCCCTAAGCTTGTGATTACCTACTGGGGAATTATGTATTCAAATAGCTGGATTTGATACCATAGCTCTATCTCACATATTTCTTTTTATTTCTTTTGATACATGCTCCAACTGCTGATAATGCAATGTAGAAATATTACTGGTATTGTTATGGGAAAGATGTAAGCCTCTTGCTATTAAGAAATACACCTTTGAAGATATAAAAATTCCTCACTTTCAGAAGAGGAAGCAATAGATCAGTCTAATAAAAATGTATTTTAA